TGAACTCGTGATCTTGTGATTACAAGTCTTTATCCTTAACCAATTTGGCTGGAGTTATCCCATGAAGGCACTAGTTTGAGGTTATTTGTAGCAAGGTCTGTGCTAAGTTATTTATAATTCCATGAATCATACCTGTGGATATAATTGCTAAGGGGTGACGAAGATGTGACAGATGATGGTTGTTCAGGTCCCAGCTTCAAGTCCTTCATGGCTATAAAGAGCTTGAACATTGGTTTTGCAGCAGGTGCACTTCTTCATCTTGATAGGTGGGAACTGCATGAAAAGTAACCATCACAAGAAAGAACACTGATATTTGTAATTTCTTCTTAAAACAAACTAATTTGCTGACATCTGAAAAGTGAAAATTCCTAATTGCGCAATTGTTATTTATATTATCAAAAGAAATGTTTTAGAAGTACACACTAAAATTAATTATTTCATTTGCTCTTATTTTATCTGGATCCTTGGCTATTTCTATTATGGAGTATTTCCTTTCCTTCAAGACACTCTCTGGATTATTATTATTAAGAAGATTAGAAGAAGCCTCTTGGTATGTGGCTTTGGATATATTTAGATCTTTAGTTAATTTTATTTTTAGTTCTAGTATTATTGTGACATGATTATTTTTGATCTTTCGGAAAATCATTGAAATGCCATTAAATATAAGGACATTTCAATTTGTTTTATACAAAGTAAGTTGACTCGTTATATTTTTTATGTTTATTTTTTTGAAAAAATTAAAATTAAAGACTGAAATGCTTTTGTATTTGATAAAATTTAAACTGTTTTGTTAATGGAGGACAAAAAATGATTATGCTACAATAATATTATGATCTAAAGTGTTTTGTTTTGAAAAAAAAAAAGAAAAAAAGAAAAAAGAAAGACTAAAATGGACTGCCGGTTAACTCTTTAAATCTTCTTTCAAGCTGAACTTCTTTAATACAATTATTTTATTCTCTTGTTTACTTGAACTTTGATTGCTGGAAGCTAGAACAATATGTTGCTGGAATTTTATTTATTTATTTATTTATTATCTTTTGATTGGTTATATTTGCTTGTTTCTCTTGGTTAAAGTCTTAAACTAATTTTGTTCATGAGCTTAATGTCGTCACTCGTCAATCTCTATCTGTGGACTGAGACATTCATTGGACATAGGGATGGCAAAAAGTTGGATACTTTTGGGTATTCGAGCCTTCTGAGAGGTTCGAGTAGTGAATAGTTGGATTCAAGTTGAGAGGTTCGAGTAGCAATGGAATATTTGTATCTAATACGGGTAAGCCCGTGTGGAGTGTGGACAGTGGAATCCTAACTTTAACAAAAAACTCAAACTAATAACCTAAAGTTAGTAGCCTTCCTCTTTGCTACCAAAGTGACCATTGGCATAACGATAGATGCAAACTTATAACCTATTATTACCTAAAGATGCAAGAAAATATTCACCCCGCCTTGAAAGTGGCAATTGTTATATCGTGAAGCAGGGTCCTTTTTTATTGTGAATTAGTCTAAATTCACATTTAAATAATGTGTATGCAGTTAACATATTATGTACCTTCAATTAATTAATTATGTGCCCAATACAATTAACATATAATATATACGCAGCTAACATATTATGTACCTTCAGTTAATAAATTATGTGTATACTACAGTTAACATATAATGTATATGCTGTTAACATATTATGTGCTTGTAATTAATAAATTACGTAGCAACAGTTAACATATTATGTGCATTCAATTTAGTTATATGTACATAATCTGTTAACTAAAAACACATAATATGTTAACTGTATACATAATTTGAATGTCATTTTGGATCAGGGGTTCACGATGCAAGGTGGATCCTGGTCCATTGTATAATTTGCCTAAAAGTGTGATTGAGGAGTAGTTATGTTGTGCATCCGTATGCACCATGCAAAAACGACGTCGTTTGATTAAAAACGCACGTCTCCCCTTAAAAAAAATTCAGGTTCGATTCCCAGCAACAACATTATATTGTTCATTCATTCTGGAATTTTAGTTCATAGATTATGGAATTTTAGTTCATTGATTCTGGAATTATAGTTCATCGATTCTGTAATTGTAGTTCATCGATTCTGAAATTTTAGTTCATAGATTCTGGAATTTTTAGTTCATAGATTAGATTCTGAAATTTTAGTTCATCGATTATGGAATTATAGTTCATCGATTCTGAAATTTTAGTTCTTATGTTGTTGCTGGGAATCGAACCTGAATTTTTTTTAAAGGGGAGACGCGCGTTTTTAATAAAACGATGTCGTTTTTGCATCCGTATGCACCATGCATGGTGCATACGGATGCACAACATAATTTGCCGTGATTGAGGTCAAATTATATTATGGACCAGGCTCCCCATTGTATTGTGGATCCTGATCCAAAATGACATTCAAATTATGTACTTGTAGTTAACATATTATGTACCTTCAGCTAACAAATTATATATTTGTAAATAAACTGAAGGTACATAATATGTTAACTACATGTGCATAATACGTTAATTGTAATATATACATAATTTGCTATTGTAATAGGTACATAGTTTATTAATCGAAGGCACATAATATGTTAATTGCATGTACATAATACGTTAATTGTAATAAATACATAATTTAATAACTACAGGCACATACATAATATGTTAATTGTAATAATAAGTACATAATTTATTAATAGAAGTTATATACTCCATATTAACTGCAAGTACATAATCTCAATGTAGTTTTGGAGCAAGGTCTGCAATGCAAGGTAAACTCTGATCCATGGTTTAACAATTGGTGGCGGGCAGAAGATCAAGTTTAATTTTCGTCAACAAGACCAAATAAAAAAGGCACCTAAGTAAAAAACATATGGTGAAATCTTATAGCCCTTGATCTGGTCCAGATTGACGTCCATGAAAGATGGAAAAACAATGTGGTGGCATTTTTATAACTTTTACTTAATTTGAAGTGCATAATGTTTACACTGCATGGTGCATAAGGTTATACTACGAATGCAAAAGAGTAATAACTTTGAAATGGACAAGTTTTTACTACAGATACACAAGTTTTGTTTAACTAGTGCATAATAGAATTATGTACATATTACAATTAACGTATTATCCGTATCGACTGTACTACGGAGGGAAGTGCATGTTTAGGGGGGCCTTGGCCCCCCTCCCCCACCCCAAATTTTGTTATTATTATTATATATGTATTAAATTTAAAAAAAAAATATTATATAGAATTTTAAATTTTTGTTGTTTTTCAAAATATTTGGCCCCCCTCCACTTAATTAATGGGTAAAGTTATAAATTTTTTCATCTTCTTAATTTTTTCAGTTCTCTTCTATTTCAAATTATGTATTCCATATATTATTGACTCATATCCAAAATAAACCTCATTTAACTTTCTTACTAGTTTCTCTCTCTAGAACCATGCATATATGCGACATATACGTTATAATAAGATAATTTGTCTTTAACAAAATCTATGCATTTTTTCAAGTTAATTTTTGGGTTTTTTTTTTCTAACTACTTGTTTGGTTAATTTTTGTTTCATATTTTATTGTTTATCTTAAATAATTGTTTTGTTTGATTCTAAATCATGGATATCAATGTACATTTGTTTGGTTAATTATGTAAATTTGTGGTTGTGTGATAAATTTTGTATTTAATTTAAAATGCATAATAATGTAACAATTGTGTAGTATATGTATTTGAGAAAACAATTGCTATTATGTTATGTTGTGAAGATGATTTTCCAAGAAATAATCAATAGTTTTTTAAAACATGCGTGAATATTTTCATTCTTTCAACCGTACAAAGCCGTGTGCATTGAGAAGCATATTGCAAAATAATTTAATATAGATTTAATTACAAATTATTTATTCTAAATTTTATTGAATTTGTAATGTAATGATTATTTTGAGATATGTTAACGGGATATCAATGTATTTAATTTAGTACTTCAATCGTAGTTGGCCCCCCGCACTATTCCGTTCTGGCTCCGTCCCTGACTGTACAAGAAGTTCTGTCCTCATTTGAACCAGTATATATATCTATATATATATATATATATATATATAGACCCAACACTGAGTTGTGGTCATGTGGACCCTTGTAAGGAGGCTGGCAAAATGGTCCATCCACTACCCTTTTTTATGCCACATGACTGACAACTATTTTTATGCAGTAAGGATTAGGAAAGTCTCAAAATCATGTGAGCCATCCAGCAGCGCCTTATAGTGCCTCCTTTTCACGTAAAGCCAAGTGGGGAATCCAAGTAATTGACGGAATTGTTCTACTATTAGGATTTTCGAATTCTGCTCCATCAATTATATATCCTAGTTCCTAACATACTAAGGGTGTATTTGGTTCGCACATAGGAATCGGAATCGGTATGGGTATCAAATACTTGGTAATGGTAATGGGTTTTGGTGAAAATATTTAACATGTTTGGTAGTAGGGTGGAATGAGAATGGTTATTAATAGTAGTGCTTGAGAATGTATAAGGGAATGAAACCCTTATTGTATTTGGGTATGGATTTTTCAATTGATGGGGTATTCGAAACCCATAGTAGTGTTCTAAAAACCTATCAACCAAACAACAACAATCACTTTCATACCCATTCCTATGGGCAAAACCCACCAACCAAACACACCCTAAGTATGAATAGAATATTTTTATCTTGTGGGTTCAGAAAAAATTGTTTACATTCAAGATTTGTTGGAGAGAATAAAAGCTCGGGGTATAATTTGAGAGCAGAGGTAGTATTTTCCCCGATAGAATAATGACAATATATATCTCTGGACAAATTAGTTTAGGCATTGGCCTTTGGTTTTGCTGTTGGCTGTTGCTTTTGCATTTTCCTTGGCTAGCTGGACTGTCCTTGACTAGACATTAGACAATGGTGTTTTTTTTTTTTTTTTTCTTTTGAAAACGACAATGGTGTTAAATACTCTGCAATTTATATCACTTTTTTTTTTCCCTGTTCAATACTGTTATGTTAGTGTCTTCTAGGCAATATGTGCAATGGAAAAGGATTGATGTATTCTGATAGAGCATAATTCCTGTCACTGATAAATTTTATTGAATAAAGAAAAATGAATGAATAAAAATAATGATTCACTTTATTTTTGTTTTTTATAGATTAATCAGAGCGTGACACTTCAATAGAGAGTAGAAAATAGAATAGAAAGTAGGAGTAGATGTAGGCTCTATTTGTCAAACTTAACTGAAAAGCTAAGTTAGAAGCTGAAAACTAAAAAGTTATAAGCTCGGAGCTGAAAACTGAAGAGCTGTTAAGCTAGCTGTTATGATTGAAATTGTTTGGTAAAATTAGCTTTTTGATAAGCTGATAAATGTAAAAAGACTAAAAAAACATCTTCATAAAATTTAAATTAGTTTGTTTACATATTAAAATTTAACATTTTATCTTTAAAAAAAATTAACATTTTGAAATAAAACTATTAGCATAATCATGATCTAGCATCTCATAATGAAGTAGCAATATTGTTGCGAATCTAATAATAATAATAATAATAATAATAATAATAATAATAATAATAATAATAATAATAATAATATTTGCAGTGAAAGTTGCGGATAAAGGATAAGAGAAAATGGTTTTAATTATGAAGGGTAAATTATGTCATTTCTTTAAAATAATAATGACAAAGATGGAAAAAAAGTTAGGAAGCTAGGAGCTTATTTTGATTTCAAAATAAGCTTTTATTTTAAGCTAGGAGCTTATTTTGAGATCATTACCAAACAGAGCATATAGTTTATCAATAGCTTAAAATAATTTGCATATAGTTTATCAATAGCTTAAAATAATTTATAAACTCCTAAATAAACTCTGTCAAACAGAGCCGTAGTATTATCCATATGTAATTAAATATAGGATGTTGATTAATTTGGTCAAAGTACGATACTATTAAATAATGCATGCGAATCATGTGACATGTTTATATTTAAAAAGTTTGGTTACGTATGTAATCATAACTTAGCCAGACAGGGAAGTATACGAGTGGAATTGATTTTTTTTTTTTTTTAAAATAAATACATCGAATGAGTATCTCATAGATTTGTACAGTGATTTAGATGATTACATTTTACTATATTTTATTTGTACGGAGTTATTTTTACAAAGTTAAAGTATAGGACTTGTTTGGTAAAAAATTAGTCTATAAGTCAATTTTAGTTTATTTGATCATTATTAATTGTTTGATTTAGTTAAAATATTAATATAAATGTTTGGTTAATTAGCTTTTTGTAACTCCAGAAAGCTAAAATTCAAAAAGTTACTCCAAGCAACTTTTTCAATTAGCTTTTTGAGAAAAAAAATTTATACCAAACAACTATCAGCTAACAGTTAATTTACCAAATACTTTTTTACAATCAGCTAATGTTATCAACTATTTATACTATCTAATTAACACAATCAGCTAACAGTTAACAACTATTTTACCAAACACGGCCATAGTTTTTTTTTATGTGATCCTATTTTGATATCTTATTTTTTGCTTGTACTCTTCTTGCGCATAGAAATCTTGATAAGATTTGTTTGACATCTTCTTTAATATGAATGGCAACTCTTCAACCCAACAGGGTAGCTCAAGTGGCAAATGAGCTTTCTTTGTGGGGGAGAATTCTGGGATAACCCGGATTTAATTTCCACAAGTAATGATTCCCTCTAGACTAGTTTCAATGCTTCTCGGAGCGAACCGGATGGACCCGGACCACAATGTGGTTTACATAAAATAAAAAAAAAAAAATGAATGGCAACTCTTCTTATTCTTTGGGGGAATTTCTTTGCTATTGATTGTCATTTCATTATCATCTTCCGTCTTCAACATTATCTTTATTTTATATTCTTCACGCATTGTTTCTTTCATTGGTTGTAGTAGTTGTACGTGGCCGGATAACTTGTCATCTCTTTTTGGTTAAAATTAAATTTTGACTAATGTGTCATGTGACTTTGGCTATACAATCATAGTTTTTCAGGATGAGGATACGATATATCTGAATGAATAATAATGAGTCTGTACAGGAGTATATATAGTAGTGAATAGTAAACCTATTACAAGACGAATACTAATAATAATAGTTAACGAATACTAATTACTAATAATAATAGGTAACGAATACTAATGATGATAGAGTCCTAATACTCCCCCTCAAGCACAAGGTGGACTAGCAACAACATTGAGCTTGCCACATAGAGTAGAGAAACGCGGACCAGGGAGAGCTTTAGTGAACACATCAGCGAGCTGATCCTTTGTGGAAATGAAGCTAACCTGCAACTCCTTCTTCGCTACTTTGTCACGAACAAAGTGGTAATCAATTTTCACATGCTTCGTACGAGCATGAAACACCGGGTTGGAACAGAGATAAGTCGCACCCAAATTATCACACCAGAGAGTGGGAGGAGCAGCCAATGACACTCCAAGCTCGTGCAACAGAGAAACCAACCAAGTGACCTCCGCAGACACATCAGCCAGAGCCTTGTATTCAGCCTCTGTAGACGAACGAGCAACCGTGCGTTGCTTCCGACAAGACCAGGAAATCAGATTGCCACCAAGAAAAACCGCAAAACCACTAGTAGACTTCCTGTCAGCTGGATCACCAGCCCAGTCCGAATCCAAAAAGGCATGAACCGCAACAGAGGAGGAAGGACGAATAAAAAAACCAAAGTGCAGAGTTCCTTTTACATACCGCAGAACACGCTTGAGCATAGCCCAATGCTCAGTGGTTGGAGAGTGCATATGCTGACAGACCCGATTCACGGCAAAAGAGAGATCCGGACGAGTAACAGTAAGATACTGTAGAGCCCTAGCAAGACTGCGATACTGCGTGGGATCCGCATAGGGAACCACAGAATCAGAAGAAGGTCGGGACACAGGAACCGGAGTAGCCAACAGTTTACAGTCCACCATACCTGCACGGCTCAAAATATTTCACATGTATCGCTGCTGAGAAAGAAACAAACCACCATCCTTGGAGACCGTCTCAATGCTAAGAAAAAAAAACGGAGCACCCATGTCACGAATCTTAAACTCCGAGGCTAAGTCAGTAAGAAGCCGAGTAACACACGAAGCATCAGACCCCATAACAAGGATATCATCAACATAGACAAGCAAATATAAACAAATAGAGGCACGAGTACAGATGAATAAAGAAACATCAGTCTTGGAGGGTGAAAAACCAACCGACACCAAGAAAGCATGCAACCTATTGAACCACGCTCGAGGAGCCTGCTTAAGACCATAGAGTGACCTCTGTAACAAACACACATCATCCGGCCGTAACTGGTCTTCATAACCGGGCGGCTGTCTCATGTAAACTGTCTCTGCAAGATTACCATTGAGGAAGGCGTTGTGAACATCCAACTGCCGAATGACCCAACTGTGAGAAACGGCTAAAGAGAGAAGAAGCCGCACGGTGGTGGGTTTGACAACAGGACTGAAAGTCTCAAAAAAGTCTTGCCCAGCGACTTGATTGAAACCCTTTGCGACCAATCGAGCCTTGTGCCGCTCAATCGTGCCATCGGCCTTGCGCTTCGTTCTGAACACCCATTTGCACCCCACAACATTCATGCCAGGTGTACGACTAACCAGACGCCAAGTATGATTCTGGAGCAAGGCATTAAACTCAATATCCATGGCCTCACGCCACTCCGGATACCGAACTGCCTGAGAATAACAAGTCGGTTCAGGAACAGTCATAAGAGCCACATGCTGCGTCGGTCCTTGAGAACGGGTTGCCATGACATGAGACCGAGGCTGAACAGGCTTCGCCGTACGGCAGCCTTGCTTGGGCGCAGTAGGAGCACCCGAGACCGCCCCTTCCGGAGCCGTAGCAGTCACGGTGCGAGAATCTGAACCAGCTGCGGCAGCCCCGGAATCCGCGTCCAACTCTGGATGAGGATCAGGTCCAGTGGGACAAACATCGGAGCCAACACCAACCCGAACGGCACCAACACCCCACGGCTCAACCGGGCGAGAGCTAGAGACCTGAGAAGGCATAGAAGAAGCAAACGGATATACGGTCTCATCAAACCGTACATGACGACAAATGAATACCTTGTTAGTAGCAGGATCTAAACAACGATAGCCACGAAACGAAGACGGATAACCAAGAAACACACACGGGGATGACCGATACTGCAACTTGTTACGATTGTACGGGCGCAACAGAGGATAACAGAGACAGCCAAACACACGCAAGAAGGAATAAGAAGGATTAGAATGATGCAAACGATAATGAGGACTGACATTGTCTAGAACTCGAGTAGGCATTTTATTGATGAGATAGACCGCAGTCTCAAAGGCATATCCCAATATCGCTGTGGAACCGAAGCCTGAGCCAAGAGAGCCAGACCCGTTTCCACAACGTGACGATGCCGACGCTCAACTCTACCATTCTGCTCATGGGTATAGGCACAAGATTGCCTATGATTGATACCGAAAGAGACAAAAGTACGGTGCAACCGTTTATACTCTCCCCCTAAATCAAATTGTATAGAGACAATCTTACGACCATATGAACGCTCAACTAGTGACCGAAACTGCTCGAAGATAACATACACATCAGTTTTTAATCGCATAGGATAAAACCATACATAGCGTGTGTAGTCATCAATAAACAAAACAAAATAACGAAAACCATTGACAGAAAGAAAAGGCGCTGGGCCCCAAATATCAGTATAAATAAGCTCTAAAACATGCGACGTAGTAGTATTGACACGAGGCAAGGGAAACCGAGATGATTTACCAAGCATACAAGCACGACACGACACCGAACTATTACTAAAACTAGAATCAATGGAACACGAATTCAAAATCTGCCGCAAGACAGGAGGATGAGGGTGACCCAACCGACCATGCCAAACGTCAGAGGAGACACGCGAAGCCACTAACGCAGCGGGACTCGAACGAGAAACAGGCCAAGAATATAGACCCCCCGAAGCCTGCCCTCTATACAGAACTTCCCTGGTTGAACGATCCTTCACAAAGAAACAATCAGGGTGAAATTCAAAGAATACATTATTATCACGGGCAAACCGTTGCACAGATAATAAACACCCAGAAAGCCCAGGAACAAAAAGAACATCAGACAACCGAAACAGTATTTTAGAAGAGGCTACCGAAGACGAACCAGTACCAACAATAGGTAAACACTTACCGTCACCAACACGAAGATGATCCGGACCGTTATAAGAGACCGTCGAGGACATTAAAGAAGGATCTGGGGTGGCATGGTTCGACGCACCAGTGTCGGGAAACCATTGCTGAGTGCTAACCGAAGCCGCATCATCCACAGGATACGCAACATGCGCTCTCGGCCCCGGAGCTCCATCGTACCGGCGAAAGCACGAAGCGGCCGAATGGCCCTCGCCGGAGCAGATCTGGCACTGGACAGCCCCGGCACCGCCACGACCACGGCCACGCCCTTTGCCGCGACCACGGCCGCGGTTGCCGCATCCACGCTGCTGCCCGCCCGAACGGCCTCTACCTCGCTGAGCCGCCATGGCGACCGGAGCAGCAGCAACATCACCAGCATCATCGGCACATATAAAAGCCTGCGAAATAAGAAAATCGGATAGCTCGGGCAGAGACACCGGAGCACCCCTTGTGAGCGACGCCACCAAAGGACGATATTCGGACCGCAAGCCTCGGAATATATACATATTCTGATCCGCTAGCGTCACCGGACGGCCGGCAAGCGCTAAATCCTCGATAAGCACCTGCGCACGGCCAAGATAGTCCGGGATCGAAGCATCCCCCTGCCGTAATCCTTGCAACTCGCCCACCAACCGGAGGGCACGAGCCCGTGTAGTCGAACCAAGAACCTGCTCGATTGCCAACCACAAATGCCGAGAAGTGGACTTACCGATTGCGAGGTGCATCATCTCGTCGGACAAGGATGAGATTAATAAGGAGAGCACGGCCTTATCTTGACGGAGCCATGCACTCCGAGCAGCGGAAGACGAAGCCGACGAAGGCACGGCAGGAACAGCTCCCTCGGCAGGCGGCACGGCAAGCGCGGTGATCGGCGGACATACCGAAGTACCATCGACAAAACCCAACAACCCTTGGCCATCCAAGAACGGAAGAAGCTGAGTACGCCAAAACAAAAACTTGTGGGATGTCAACTTGATGGAGACGAAGTGATGCGCCGAAGAGAAAGACACCCCCGACTGCAGCGGTGCAACAAGCGCGGCCTCGGAAACGGTCCATTCAGAACTACCAACAGAGCCGTCATCAGATCCGAGGTGCGCCATTAGAGAGAGGAGAGAGAAACCTGCTGATACCAGATGAGGATACGATATATCTGAATGAATAATAATGAGTCTGTACAGGAGTATATATAGTAGTAAATAGTAAACCTATTACAAGACGAATACTAATAATAATAGGTAACGAATACTAATTACTAATAATAATAGGTAACGAATACTAATGATGATAGAGTCCTAATATTCAGGAGATAATTTTTTAGGAGATCACGCCATTATGGTTGGATAGCTCCTGAGAGATTTGTGATAAAACAAAAAATTATGGTATCATATTTTTTAAAAAAATAAAAATTCTTGTACATCTTTATTTATTTTTGATAAAAACAAAAATTTTATTCAGACTATGCTCTTGAATTTTTAAAAATATTTTAAAATGTTTTATATGAAAGATAATTAAAGTTTAATTGTACTCATTTACGTTTTGAAAATCTCTTTGAATGCTACTTAGAACAGTATTTCACTGCTGGAAATTATGGAATTTTTGATCACCTAAAAGTGATCTTAAATCAAGTCGAAAGCAAAAAGTGGTCGGAAATAGCAATAAAGGTTTTTCCGGATATCAAAAGTGGTCGGAACAAGACTTTCGACTTGATTTAAGATCACTTTCAGATGGTCGGAAATTTCATAATTTTCAACAGTGTTTTAACTTGTTATTTTGAAAAAAAAAAATCAAAAAATGTCATTATTATAAATATTACTAAATTATTAAATAAAAAATTAAAATAATAATGAATTAAATGCCCTCAAAAAATAGAAGACTAATCTCTCTTCAGTTCAGAATGAGACATTTAGTACATGGTTAATACTATGCAAATGAGAGCATGAAGCTTTCCATGATTCATTGAACGTAAAATTAGTAATGTGGGATACCCACTTTTTTAATTTTATTAAATTTTTCTTTTTAAATTTTGATAATTTATATTAATAAATTACTAAATCTTAACACTAATTTGAAACATATTGATATAGAAAAGTTTACTTCTATTTTCACACTTAATAAGTTGAGATAATTTTAATTATTTTATTTTACACCCTTTGAAATAAATATTAAAAAATGAAAATTAAGAAAGAACACAAAAATTGAGAGAAAGTGTAGTAATGTAAAAAGGAAGAAAAAGGTGATTGATTGGATTATTAAAACTTTGTCGAGACATAACTTTTGACGCACTAATTTTTCAAAAAAATGCTTCTTTAACTCTTAATTTTAATTTTTTATGTATTTAGATGATTTAAACAATCTTTTGAACAATTTTACAACCACTTACGTAAATAGTTTGTAAGAAATAAGTATGGAAACCTTATATTTTATTAGTGAATTTAATTGCACTATTTTACCAAATTTGTATATCTTTAAAAAATGTTTGAGTTTAACGATGACAACTTAGTTGTCATTTAAAGAAAAAAAAATCAGAGCATATTTGACCCATATTGCTTCAAAATATGACATTCATAAAAATTATATATTATTAAGTTTATTGACTATTGAGAACATGATAATTGCTAAGATACTTAAATCAAAATCATGCTACCCATATGATTCAAGGCTCGTCCTACTAATACGACTTACCTTACACTCATCTTTACACTACGAAATTATACTTTGGGAGTTGAGAGCAAAATTTTAATTTTAAGTTTTATGAAACCGTTTAATTATGTGTATTGTGCAAATTGCAAAATTAACTTTCTTAGTGCTACATATTAAATTATTTTTTTAATATCATTTAGTATAGTTCTCATACACTACTGCTCATTGTATATTTTCTCTTTTTTAAATAATCACAAAATAATAAATATAATAATAAAATTTTAATTTGTACTACAAACAATTGATACGGAAGTAACGGAACAAGTCAACAATTCATTGCAGCATTGTTCTCGTGACATGCCTTCTATAAGTATTTATAAATTAAGCAATCATAGTATAAATTAATTGGATTGTATATATACATTAAAACTTGTATAAATTAATATGTTAGGACCATGAAATTTTATTAATTTAGAGAGGCATTAACTAATTGATAAATTTTTATTAATTAAAAGAGTGCTTTTCGGATTCAGCAAATATAAGTTTAATTACATAGAAGTTATTGTCTTTCACTAATGTATATATGTATGTATCATATTCCTTAGAAATAATATAACAAATAAAATTTATGAAAATAAACTAAATGATATTTATTGTTTTTAATCTCTATCTCTATCTCTATATATATTAAAGCAAAATGATGGCCAAAATTTTCCCTCAAAAAATTTTCACCCCAAAAATTCAAGTCTTTCAATTATATATGCTAATTTATTTTACATATACTTTATATACATAATTACAAAAATGCTAAATCAATTATACAAAAATCATTGCCAATTTACCAAATATAATATTATAATAATTAATTTCATCCCCAAAAATTCAAATTAGTTCAATTCTGCTAATTTATTTTACATATACTTTATATACATAATTACAAAAATGCTAAATCAATTATACAAAAATCATTACCAATTTACGGAATATAATATTATAATAATTAATTCAAATTCGTTCAATTCTGCTAATTTATTTTATATAATAATCAATTTTAATTTATAAACATTAGTTAATATTAGAATTTCTCTCGCTTTCCTTCGCGAGTTGTCTCCTCCCTATCATTTCTAGGGTTTACTCAATCATGGAATCTGATAATCACAATGATTTAACGAGTTTGTGTGCGAATTTGACATTGGCTGACGTAGATGATGAGGGGATCGCCATCCGATTGCCAAATGTTCCCATTGCTGAGCCTGAGCGTGAAAGTGAATTCTTTGCAGTTGGGAGACTGGTGATGACTAAGTTGGTTAAGTTTGGGTTTTTCCAGGATACAATGGCGGCTATCTGGCAGCCGGCTATGGGCGTAACAATGCAACAAATCCAATCGCAACGCTATCTGATCCGTTTTTATCATGAGGCTGACCTGGTTAGAATTCTCAGTGACGGCCCGTGGAGTTTTGAACAATCCCTGCTTATTATGAGGAGGGTTATGCCAGGGGAGGATCCGGAGGTTGTACCTTTAGACCTTGCGGACTTTTGGGTTCAGATCCACTCACTGCCTACTGGCTTGCGATCTGCTGTAGTGGTCTCGGCCATTGGCTCGTTTCTGGGAACACTGGTGATGGTTGATGAACGAAACTTTGATGGCACGATGCGGACTTATTACAGGGTGCGTGTGACGATTGATGCCACGAAGCCCTTGAAAAAACAGATGAAGCTGAAGAAGGATAATGGGGTGTGGGTGTTGGTGGACTTCCGGTACGAAAGGCTACCAACGTTTTGCTTTGTCTGTGGTATTATTGGCCATGGGGATAGGGTTTGCCCGAAGATTGTCCAGGGGGTAGACCTAGCGAATGGGAAGCCATATGGGGCATGGTTGCGGGCGGGCGCAAGAAGGACCGTGCCGAGCGTAGGGCAGCGATGGGTGGGGCCGGAAGTTGATGCTGAGAGAAGCTATGGCAGGCGCCGGGTATGAAAACCATGCCAACAGTGGGTAGTGGTGGCAATAACGAGCCAGGTGCTGTTGTTCCCACGGATCAGGGGGTAGAGGTGGCTGACCCGAAGAGGAGGCGGGTTGATGATGCTGCTCAGATGGATTGTGACGGTGAACTGACAAAAAACGGGATGACGGCGGGTGTTGCAGTGCAAGCCCGCTAGGAGATATGAGTATTTTAAGCTGGAATTGTCGGGGGCTTGGCAACCTTACGGCAATTCGAGTTCTAGCGGATCTTGTCCGCTCAAAGAGGCCGCAAGTGGTTTTTTTAATTGAGACGTTTGCAGATAGTGTGAGGATGGAGACCGTGCGTGTACAGTTGGGGTTTGCGAATTTGTTCTGTGTTGATGCTGATGGTCACAGTGGGGGGTTGGCGATGTTATGAACAGGTATGGTGCAACTACAGGTGACAGGCTATTCTAGTAATCATATTGACACAACGATATCCTTGGATGTAGACGCGCCCGTGTGGCGTTTTACTGGTTACTATGGGTATTCGGATACGGGAAGGCGGAGAGAAACCTGGCAGATGCTGCGCCGGCTAGCGGGGGAAAGTCTTTTGCCATGGGTGATAATGGGTGACTACAATGACCTATTGCACCAGTATGATAAAAGGGGGCGAGCTCCGCATCCACCTTGGCAGATAAACGGATTTCGGGACGCGGTGGCTGACTGTGGCTTACTGGAGATGCCCTTTGATGGTGTCCAGTTCACTTGGACTCATTCTCGGGGATTGCCGAACATGGTGGAGGAGAAGCTGGACAGAATCTTTGTCACACCAACATGGCAGGAGATGTTTGATGGAGCTACAGCCACCTCACTGGTATGCCCTTATTCTGATCACCTACCCCTGTTACTAACTTCGGTTGTTGCTGTACAGACCACCAGAAGACGTCGTTTCTTGTTTGATAATATGTGGCTTAGGGAGCACCGGTGTCGTGAGATTGTGGCCGAATCGTGGGAAGGATCGAGGGGCCGGGATGTCATGACTAAATTGCAGTGGTGTGGACGTGATATATGGCGTTGGGGTAAGAATTATAACAAAGACTTCCTGAGACGAATCGAAAATTGTAAGGCTACTATGGATGCTCTGCGGGAACGGTATGATAATGAAGGGTTGATGAGGTATGCCAGAGCTGAGAATGTATTGTTGAGGCTGCTGGAGCAGCAACATCTTTTCTGGAAACAACGTGCTAAAGAGCACTGGTATAAGGGGGGGGGGGGGGGGACCTGAACAACAAATTTTTCCATAACTCTGTGAAAACGAGGAGACGAAGGAACAAGGTTAAGAGGCTAAAGGATGGTACGGGGAACTGGGTTGAGGGTGAGGAAGCCGTGGGTGGTGTGATGCTAGAGTACTTTCAGACTTTGTTTAAAGCAAATGATGGGGACTTGCAAGAGGTTATTAGAAATATCGCCTCACGGGTTTCTGCTCATGATAACGCAAGAATGTTAAAACCAGTGACTGAAGAGGAGGTCCGTATTGCGGTGTTCCAAATGCACCCGGATAAGTCGCCAGGACCAGATGGGTTAGGGCCGGGGTTTTTTCAGCTGGGATATTGTAGGACCGGAGGTTACTTTGTTCTGTCGGGAGTTTGTTGAGACGGCACACTTACCGGAAAGGGCGAGAAACACATATATTGTGCTCATTCCCAAAAAGACAGTCCCGGAGTCGATGGGGGATTTGAGGCCCATTGCGCTTTGTAATGTGGTGTATAAAATCGCGGCAAAAGTGTGCGCGAACCGTATGAAAGCCTTACTGGATGGGCTGATTTCGGGGTCGCAGAGCGCGTTTGTGCCGGGGCGCTTGATAACGGATAATGTTATGTTAGCATACGAGGTCCATCATTACTTGAAACGAAAAACATAGGGGAAGGAGGGGGTGGCCGCGTTGAAGATTGATATGAGTAAGGCGTATGATCGGGTGCAGTGGCGCTTTCTGGAGGCAGTTTTGGTTAAAATGGGGTTTGCCAGGCATTGGGTAAATGTGCTATTGGAGTCCGTAAGCGCGGTTCGGTATCACATATTATATGAGCGGTTAGGCCCGATTGTTCCAGAGTGTGGGTTGAGACAAGGCGATCCACTATCGCCGTATTTGTTTCTGTTCGTTGTGGAGGGCCTTAGTGTGCTGATTGAAGAGGAAATGAGTATGGGCAGATTGCATGGGGCACGGGTTGCAAGAGGGGCCCCCGCGATTTCACACTTGTTGTTCGCGGATGACTGCTTTCTGTTCTTGCGTGCTAATATTCAGGAGAGTGAACGGATGCGCTGCATTCTTGACACTTACGCGACAGCGTCAGGGCAACGAATTAATTATGACAAATCGGCCATTTGTTTCAGTGCCAATGTCTCACAGCCGATTAGGGACGGGGTCGTACAGATCCTAGGGGTCGCGGAGGGCAATACAACTGGCAAGTATTTGGGTCTACCATCACTGGTAGGACGGAAGAAGAGGGAGATACTTGGGTATTTGAAGGAACGGATTTTAACGAGGGTGCGCAGCTGGAACTCTAAATTTCTTTCACGGGCAGGCAGGGAAGTGTTGTTAAAGAATGTCATCCAAGCAATGCCATCATATGCTATGATGGTTTTTTTGTTACCGCTTAGCTTGTGTAAGGAGATAGAGACTTTAATGAATGGGTATTGGTGGACTGGCTCTGTGGGTTCCAGGAAGGGTATAAGGTGGCGTGCATGGGAAGGATTGGCACAACCCAAGGCAGCGGGGGGGCTGGGGTTCAGGAAACTTCACGAGATGAACCTGGCCCTGCTCGGTAAGCAAGCGTGGCGTCTCGTAACCAGGCCGCAGTCGCTGGTAGCACGTGTGTATAAGGCGCGTTACTTCCCAAGATGTGCTTTCTTTGATTCAAAAGAGGGGTCAAACCCGTCTTACATTTGGAGGGGATTGCTTGCGGTCAAAGATGTGGTGCGGGAGGGGTGCCGTCGAAGTATTGGTAATGGGCTTGACACAACCATAGGGAACCATGCATGGTTGCTATGTGAGAACAATCCGTTCATCACAGCAGCGCTGGCTGAGGAGGTAGCTTTGGCCCCGGTGGCATCGCTCCTAAATAATCAAGGTACGGGGTGGGATGTTAATAAGGTTACTAATTTATTTAATGTCCGGGATGTGTCTATGATCATGAATATACCTGTAAGTCTGCGTAAACCTTCAGATTCTTGGTATTGGTACTGGGATCAGAAAGGAGCCTATACCGTTAAGTCATGTTATAAACGTCTGAATGGTGCGGTTTCTAACCAGCGGCCCTGGGCACGTATTTGGAATTTAAGTGTGCCACCTAAAGTACGACACTTTGGTTGGTAGCTAGCAAATTCTTTTTTGCCGTCCTGTGATGCACTTAATTCTAAGCGGGTGTATTGCTCATTAGTGTGTCACATGTGTAGGATGGAAGACAAGAGTGCAAGACATATGTTCGCCACATGTACAGAGGCGCAAGGTTGTTGGTCTAAGCTTGGGATTCCGGTGATGAGCATTGAACATGGTAATACTGCCTCACAATGGTTTTTAAATAATGTTAAGATGCTAACTGGTGATTTGCTAGCAAAATATGTGATGACATGTTGGGGTATTTGGACAAGTAGGAATGAGAGTGTTTGGAATGGGGTTGTTTTTAATGCTAATGTTATGCTGCGTAGGACCATGAATTTTTGGGAAAATTGGGGACAAGCGCAGGAGGGGTCTGAACCGCCGGATGAAATTGCTACTGTTAATAATACAAGGTGGTTGCCTCCGCCAGTTGGGAAGTTAAAGCTGAATTCGGATGCTACTGTTCATTTGCCGGCCGGTGCAATGGGTTATGGTTGGGTGCTATGGGGGATGATGGATCTTTTTTGGCGGCGAAGAACGTGCGGGTGTCTGGAACGTATAGCATCAAGGAAGCTGAGGCAATGAGTTTACGAGAGGCTTTAAGCTGGTTAAAGAACACGGGCATGGGTGGTGTTGTAGTGGAGATAGATTCACAGCTTGTATATAATGCTATTCTTTCTAGTTCTTTTAATTCGGCTTATGGCTTTCTAGTGGACGATATTAAAGAATTAGCATCGGCAATTGGCGATGTAGAATTCCGATGTGTTAGGCGATCTGCGAACTGTGCCGCCCATGTTGTTGCTAGGGAGGCCTTTTCTGTGGCAGGTTGCGGGGAATGGTTTAATATACCTCCAGATTTTCTTGTTAGCTGTCTTGCTAATGATTTAATACAATAATCGGTTTTGCTAAAAAAAAAATACTTTATATACATAATTACAAAAATGATAAATCAATTATACAAAAATCATTGTCAATTTACCAAATATAATATTATAATAATTAGTTCAATTCTGCTAATTTATTTTACATATACTTTATATACATAATTACAAAAATGCTAAATCAATTATACAAAAATTATTTCCAATTTACCAAATATAAAGTACCGTCCAAACTTTATTTTAAAAATAGTAGTATTGAGATTTTTTAGGTTACTGTTTAGGCTTTAATTAAAAACAGTAGTATAGGCTTTAATTAAAAACGGTAATAATTAAATCTAGGGCAACAGAGATAAAGCCTATATAAAACAGAAATAATTAGCGAAGGAATGAATAGCAAATCTAGAAATTCCTTTGAGGTTAAGAGTTCTTTTTCAGATTGAGTTTGTACGTTCTTGCCCGTGATTTATCAACCTTAAAAAATAAAAGCAAGAAAAAGTTCCTCTGAAATCAAAAGCAGAGAAGTTGTTAACTTGCCGTGATGAAGAGGTACATGTCATTCTCTACATTATTTTACATAAAAAAAAAATTGTTTTTTATTGGTCAGTATATACCAAAATTGATATCCAATGCTATGTAATTATCTACCGAGAATCCACCAATTTGAAAGTCAAAAGATTACGGGTCATCAATTTGAAAGTTTAGAATTAAACGAAACAAAATCACTATACTCGGATGACCACAAATGACCAAATATAACATTAACTCTTATTAGTAATTACCTAGCTTAAATATCAATTTTTATTTTAAATACAAAAATTTATAAAAGAATAAATTTCGTATTCACTTTTTTATATATGAAATTTAATAATATATTTTTAATAATATACATAATTTTAATATTTCATATATTTAGTCTGTGCATCGCACGAGTGACATACTAGTAATAATTTTTATATATGTAAGGAAGGGGGAAACCCAGAGAGATACAAACATAGTTAAGGATTATAGATATTCCGCCAGGAAAAGAAAGCGCATCATCCTCCAACAGCCCAAGCAGTTCTTCAGGCGGGCTGCTAACATACATAATTTTAATATTTCAAATATTTATTCTATGCATCGCACGAGTGACATACTAGTAATAATTAACAAATAACATTAGAACTATATTTTACTAAATTGTTTTTTTTTTTTTCTTTAAAGTGTCAAATTGGCCCCCTAAGTAAAGTGGATAGTGCAATTGGGTTCCTTAAGTTAAAAAAACCCCATTCAAATCTCATAAACCGATAAAATTGTTCAATTAAATCCAAATTGACTTATTTATCAGGTTAAATCTATGTGGTGTTGACACGTATCCTTTTTATTTTATTTTTTTAAAATAAATATTTTTTATTTATTAAAAATTAAAAATATTATTTATTATAAATAAATAAATAAATTTTTAAAAAAACATGTCTTCTTCACGGACAGTCGTGGCTGTCCGGCAAAATTACCACGACCGTCTAAGGAGGACAGTCATGTCCGACAAAGGAAGACGGCCATAACGGACTGGAACAAGGGCGGCGGTCAAGGTCGTAGCCCTCATTCCAGATCTAGAAGACGGCTATGGCCATCTTCCTTCGTCGGCCATGGCCGTCTTCCTTAGATGGTCGTGGTCGTCCTGTCGGTGGTGGTTGTTCTTTTTTTTTTTTTTTTTTTTTTAAAAAAAAAAATTATTTATTTATTTATAATAAATAATATTTTTAATTTTTAATAAATAAAAACATTTGTTCTAAAAATAAAATAAAAAAGACACATCTCAACGTCATATAGATTTAACCTGCTAAACAAGTCAATTTGAACTTAATTGAATAATTTTACCGGTTTAGGGAACTTGAATGGAGCTTTTTTCACTTAGGGAACCCAATTGTACTATCCATTCGAGGAGGGCCAACTTAACACTTTTTTTTTTTTTTTTTTGGGCACACTTTAACTTATCAATAATAGCTTGCAATAGTTATATCAATTCATATTGAGATGAGATTCAAACTTTAAACCTTCTTTGCATATTGCAATATCATATTCCTTGAAATAATATACGGAGTAACAAATAAAATTCATGAGTTAATACCTCCAATGGTCATCCGAGTATTAGGGGTTTACCAATAGTGGTCCTCCGAGTTTTAAATGACCTCCAATGGTCCTCCGTGTTTTAAAAAATAACCACCCGTGGTCCTTTTAGGACGTCTCGTGGTCATTTTAAACTCGAATTTTTTTAAGAATTAGGACCACGGGTGGTTATTTTTTAAAACATAGAGGACCATTGGAGGTCATTTAAAACTCGGAGGATCACAGCTGGTAAATACCTAATACTCGGAGGACCATTTGAGGCATTAACTCTAAAATTCATTGTAGGTACATATGCATTTATGAAAATAAGTAAATGATATTTATTGTTTTAATTCATGTATCTTTGTAATGTAATAAATTCCACTTTTAGTTGATGTTTGCCTATTATATATAGTATTGTAACATTTAGTCTAACTCTTTTAATTTTGCATCATTACGTCATTGACTTTCATTTATTTGTCGCAATTAATTTTTTATTTAAAATTTTGTTATTTCTTTGTAAACTCTTTTAATTTTGAACGATAAAATTATATGCTAATAATTTTTATTAAATAGTGGAATGATAAAAATTTAAACAGATACACTAATTGTAGCAAACAATTGCATGTTTATCGTATAATAATGAAAGAAAATTAAAAGAGAAGGACTAAATGTGGTAATGTCACAATAAAATTCATGGTATAATTTGAGCAAATTGACCACGGTTTTTTTAGTGAGATTATTAATTTATTGAGTGATCAAGTGTATTTCACTTCTGATTTTTCAGTTATAATAATATTTTCACTATTGATTATCGACTTTAATTTATTTTACTTTTAGTCATCAACTTTTAAAAACAATTAACTCTTAATAATCTTAAATACCCAAAATGCCATCAATTTATGAAATTTTCATCTAACCTCACATTGTTGCATTTAAGACTATTTTATTCAAACACTAAAAATAAAATAAATCAAAGTTGAAAATAAAAAATGAAAATAGAGTTAAAATTGAAATAAGCTCTTATCCAATTATAATTTATAGAAGTCTTGGTGCAGCATTTAAAGTTTAATATAAACTATTTAGTACAAGTGGTACGGTCAATGTAATAAAGCATGATCATTAAAATAATGTTGGATTGACGTGTAAACATGAAATAACAGTTACTAAAAATCATAATCCATTTCTTGCCCCCCAAAAAAAAAAACATAATCCATTATGGTACGCTATTAACGTTTGTTGCGATATAATTACCAATTACAATGTCGGCATAACTCATAAGAAGCTTCAAAAGTTGGACAGGATATACGGTAGTATATGCAATGTGATATGATAAGTAGACCACATGAATAGAATATACTATAATATAAAGCTTTTTGTCGTGATTATGATATGATGTGGTCTATGGGTCGCAATGTTACATGTACAGTAATTGAAATAAGTAAAATAAAATTGTAAAATCATAAAACTGCGCACCTTTAATTTGTTTATTAATTGACATAATTTGATTTTAGTTACTAAGAACTAAAAAATATGTGTGAATTAATCTTGTTGTGTTTGCTAATATACCAATATTGGAGGCCTGTAAGTCCATTGACGCATATTTTGTGATTTATCTCCTCCACCAATCTTCAAGACAGTAGTGATAATGCACTATTGAGTTTGAAGTTCATGAAACTAATTATAATTTGATTTTGGCTATTAATTTTTATAAACTTGAGTTATACGACCATTATATTGATGACTATTGAAAAGCTGATTCATTAATCATAAATAGGAACATTTACAACAAAGTTCGATGAAATGATAAGTCATTCCTTACAGTCTGACACAGAAACAATTTACATAGCTATGCTATAGAAAACTTGATTCGCGAATTGCTTTACAAATTGAAAACTGCGATCCTTGAAAGAACTTAAACCTTTTTTAAAAATCATTAATGATCTGGCCAAACGTAGACACGACTATCTCTGGTTGAAAAGTCTTACACACCACCTAAGTATTCATCTCCATTGACAATATTTCCATCTGAAAATACACATCCGATCGTATATTAGTGAGAATTATATTGACAACTATGAAAGAACGAAGTGTGGATGAAATTAGGACTCTATGTATTTGAGTTTGATTATAATTCCCTATCCCAGTCTCACTAAGACTTCTTCCTTATATATACCTGTAATTTGTACATTGTATCGTTGATCATTATTGAATATACAACTCTATCAGTTCTCATCTGGTATCAACTAAGCTAGGGTTTCTTTCCAATGGCTGACGGATCTGTTGATTCCTCTGAACGGACTGTCTCTAATGTTCATCTCTCTTCCGCTACATCAGTGGTTAATTCTTTGTCCACTGCTCACCACTTCATCAGCATTAAGTTGACCTACAAAAACTACCTGTTTTGGAGAGCCCAGGTGGTTCTGTTTCTTGATGGTCACGCTCTTCGTGGATTTGTTGATGGAATGAATCCATGTCCTTCGCCCACCCTATCCGTCGACAGCGACGACGCGGTGGCCGCCCAGCCCAATCTAGCGCACCGTGCCTGGGTCCGGCAGGACCAAGCCTTGCTGTCCATGTTGATGTCGTCATTCTCAGATGAGGTCATGCCTCTCGCCATCGGTCACCGCACTAGCCGGGCTGTCTGGACTACTGTGGTTGGTGCACTCGCGTCTTCGTCTCGCTCCCGTGGCCTCAATATACTTGGGCAATTGCAGACCCTTAATCAAGGAGACATTTATGCAACTGACTACATCGGCAAAGCTAGGGTTTTGGTCGAAGAACTTACTCTCGCCGGCCGACTTATGACGATTGAAGAACAGAATCTTTACGTTCTTTGGGGCTACGGCCAGAGTTTCGAGGTCTCGCGTCGTCTCTCAATGTGCGCGGCTAGCTGGTTACGCTCCAAGAGCTTGCTGATCTCTTGGGCG